GGGCGACGGACTACTGGAGTGACTGGCTTCGCGGCTAAGATGAGCGGCAGGAGCAACGGACCCACTGGCGACTGGTGCAACAGGCTCACTAGCTACTGAAGCAAGGGCGACGGACTACAGGCGCTGCAGGCGACACGACAGCTATCTCCACACAACCTCCTCCAACTGACCCACACCCTTGACACACACCCCCTGCTGAACCCCTAACTCCACTCCCACGTCAACCCCCTAGCGCCATTCCCCTCGGCTCCCACACCTCCACCCCCCTCAGCAGCAGCTACAGAAGTGGGAGACGAACAAAGAGGTGGGGAGAGGGAAGGGGAGTACCCACACCGCGCACCCCCATGCCCGCCACCCCACACCCCCCACCACCGCGGAACGCACGGCGGCACGGGAGGAATGGGCAGCACGGGGGGGGGGGGGGGGGGGGGGGGGGGGACGGTATAGGAGGGGCCGCGCGTCTCTCCTCAGGGCGCCAAAATGGACGGGCGGGGGGGCGCGCGTGGCTTCCCAGGGCGCCGCGACGGACGGGCGGGGGGCGCGCGCGGCTCCCCAGGGCGCCGCGACAAGAAGGGCGGGGGCCGCGCGTGCTCCCTAGGGCGCCGCGACGAGCAGGGCGGGGGCCACGCGCGGGTCCCCAAGGCTGCGTGATGGGCAGACGGGCCGTGCGCGGCCTGCAGGCCCGCGCACGGCCGGTAGGGCGACGCGACGGGAAGGGCGGGGGGCTGCGCGCGGGTCCCCTACGGTAGGAAACCGCCGCGCGCCTCGGGGCGCACGGCGGGCAGAAAACCGCCGCGCGCCTCGAGCGCACGGCGGACAGAAAACCCTAAAAAAAAGTTCGCTTCGGGGCGCACGGCGGGCAGAAAACCGCCGTGGCAGGAAGAAGGCGTCGCACGCCACGGGGCGTACAACAGACATAGTAGCAGCGGAAGCAGTTAGGTGGTGGGCCCACCCACAGGGTCGACTTGCTCTGAAACCATGTCAGAAGTAGCAGTACAAAGTTTAGAACCAGAAAGAGGGGTTTCACTAGCAACAGTTGGGATACATATAGCAAACCCTAACTGGGTTGTACCCGCTATAGAGCACCCCATTACAGGCTAGATAATAACATTCTGACACTTTGAACTGGATTTGATAAAGTTGACTTCGATTTTAGACTTCACATATTGTGTTGTTTCATGTGGTAGTTGATTATTCAAAAACTAAGCTATTGACCTCCCCCCCATGCTAGGCAGGGGATGCGGTAGCGTAGCTTTTGGGGTGTTAACTATCACGCATTTTTATCCATTTTCCATCATGCATGCGTGCGTTTTAATATTCCACATTATACGTTATGCATACTAAAGCATTCTCCATGCATAAGCATCTATTCCACTTGCTTCATTACATTCATATAAGCATGCCTGTGAAATTCATGACTCAAGTAATTATCATTGCACCGAACAGCACGGTAAAAATATATTGCAAACAGTACAACAAACTATTACGAAGGAAAATCATTCCCCAAAAGACAGTGAACAATATTTAAAACTGCTCAACATGCACAGTATGTGAAGGGTATTACTGTAGTTTACGAATTTTATTTTCATGTTTTATTAATTTTAAATATGAAAATAAAATTTGGCAAAATCGATTGTAAAGGGTTGCTTCGCAACCCAAAAAAGAAATCGTTTCGAAGATGTAACACCTCCACTACACGATGCACATAAATGTTTGTATATTTGTGAACGTCTTATGAAGCTCAACACAGTGGATTTATTAGAGGAGATTATTTTATTAACAGGTCGGCATTGTCAAATTATAATATTGTGTAGGCTATAGTGGGGTAGCCCATATGGGGTACACATTTCTAGGGTTGCATATTTGTATCACTTCCATTCCTTAGTCATTCATTCTCGTTCACATCTTCTCATAATATCGAGCAGGTTCCCCCGTGGGAACTGTGCCTAGGGCCCACCACATCAACCTTTTTTTTTCCTGCCCGAAGCGCGCTCCGCCCGAGTCGCACTTCGTCGAGCCGCCCTAGCGGCCCTTTCCCCTAGCGGCCCCGCCGCACGTCGCCTCGGCCCCGCCGCCCGTCGCTTCGGTCCCGCCGCCCGTCGTCGCGGCCCCGCCGCCCTACCTCGCGGCCCCGCCGCCCTACCTCGCGGCCCCGCCGCCCTACCTCGCGGCCCCGCCGCCCTACCTCGCGGCCCCGCCGCCCTACCTCGCGGCCCCGCCGCCCTACCTCGCGGCCCCGTCGCCCTACCTCGCGGCCCCGCCGCCCTACCTCGCGGCCCCGCCGCCCTACCTCTCGGCCTCGCCGCCCTACCTCGCGGCCCCGCCGCCCTACCTCGCGGCCCCGCCGCCCTACCTCGCGGCCCCGTCGCCCTACCTCGCGGCCCCGCCGCCCTACTCAACGGCCTCGCCGCCCTTTTATACCGGCCCCGCCGCCCTACTCCACCGGCCCCGCCGCCCTACTCCATCGGACCCGCCGCCCTACTCCTGCGGCCCCGCCGCCCTACTCCTGCAGCCCCGCCGCCCTACTCCTGCGGCCCCGCCGCCCTACTCCTGCGGCCCCGCGGCCCTACTCCTCCGGCCCCGCCGCCCTACTCCTACGGCCCCGCCGCCCTACTCCTGCGGCCCCGCCGCTCTACTCAGCGGCCCCGCCACCGTTCACCAGCGGCCCTGCCGCCCTACACCGCCCGCGCCGCCCGAGTTGCCAGAACGGCCCGAGCCGCCCGAGCCGCCCGAGCCGCCCGAGACACGCGAGCCGCCCGAGTCGACCGAGCCGCCCGAGCCGCCCGAGCCGCCCGAGCCGCCTGATCAGCCGAGTCGCCGGTGCCGCGGAGCCGCAGTCGCTACTGAGCCGTCCAAGCAGCCGTGTTGCCGTGTTACTGCACTACTGAGCTGCCCGACTTGCCCTGCCTGGTGAGACCAGCGCTTCTCTCACTGCACTGCCCCTGTCCTACAGTTGGTCTCGCTAGTCTACTGCTGTCATGGCTTCCCCGAGTGTTCTCGCTTTTGACGCTGAGGGTCGAGCCAATGACTTTGAGGTTTGGGTAGATGACATGCAGCTCTTCTTACAGTGCGATAGGGCAGACGGTCTCTCCCTCTTTGACCTCACCTCTGGCGCCTCTCCTGCCCCTGCTGCTGATGCTGACCCCACTGTTCGCTCCTAGTGGGCCACGCGCGATGCTGCTGCACGTCTTGCTGTGCGTCGCCACCTGCCTACCACTGAGCGTGCGCACTTTGGTCAGTACAAGAGTGCTCACACCTTATACGACGCTGTAGTTGCGCGCTACTCTTCCCCTGCCACTGCTGCACTGAGCCGCCTCATGCTACCGTACCTCTTTCCTGACCTTGCTGCCTTTCCCACAGTCGCTGACCTCGTTACGCACCTCCGCACTAGTGACACTCGCTACCGCGCCGCACTTCCTGCTGAGTTCTGCGCCAAGAATCCCCCCCCCATGTACATCACTCTCTATTATATAGTCACTCGCCTCCCTGACTCCCTTCGCGTAGTAAGGGACCACTTCCTCGCAGTCTGTCCCATCACTCTCACTGTTGACCTCCTAGAGAAGGCCCTCCTAGCAGCGGAGAAGAGCATAGTCGTTGTAGGAGCATCTCGTGGTGACCCTCGCACCCCCATCTTTGAGGGGTGTTCCCCTTCCCCCCTGTTGCCCTCTGTCGCCTCTGCTGCTGCGGCCGACCTCGTTGGTCTTGAGTCGGTCGGTGCGGCGTCTGCCCCTTGCGGGAGACGCCGCTCTGGCAAGGGCAAGGGGGGCAAGGGCGCGGGTGGAGCTAGCGGGGGTGGTGGAGGTGGCGGTGGGGGCGGCGGAGGGAGTGGGGGTGGCGGTGGGAGTGGTGGCGGGGGTGGAGGTGGCGGTGGCAGCGGCGGAGGCGGCGGTGGCGATAGCGGTGGGAGCGGAGGCGGCGGTGGCGGCGGAGGTGGAGGCGGCGGTGGTGGAGGAGGTGGAGCTGGTCGGGGTGGTACTTCTCAGCGGAGCGGCTCCGGGAGTGGTCAGCGCCAGCAGCAGCAGCATTCTCGGGACATCCCCCCTCCTCAGCAGCTCCGTGAGTGGCACACGCAGCGTCAGCGTGGTGGGGGTTTTGGCCCGTGCACCTACGTCCTCCGCTCCGGCGACCGCGGGGGTGAGCAGTGTGGGGGTGCTCACCCCACCCAGCGCTGCTTTGGCCGCTTGACGTACGCTTGGCGTCAGCAGTTCCCGGAGGCTAGTGAGATCCCCCGCTGGGGAGAGCTGTCTAGGGCAGGCGTAGCTATCTTTGATCTAGACTTTAATGCTATCCTTACTGCCATGTATGCTGTGACTATTAGTGATGAGGGTGACTGTTACCGGTGTTTCCCGCCCGACCCGGGCATTGGTACTGCTGCTCTAGGTACTGGTGAGGCTGCTGCTCTAGGTGCCAGTGCGTCCGCGCCCTCAGGTGCTGGTGAGTCTTCGCTCTCAGGTACCACGTCGGCTTCGGCCTCCCTCACCTTCACACTTGACTCAGGGGCTTCTCGCTCCTTCTTTCGAGACCGCACCACACTCACGCCGCTTGGTCGGCCGGTTGCAGTCCCCCTGGCAGACCCCTCTGGGGGTCCTGTCCTCTCTCACTTCTCCACTGTCCTCCCGTGTCCGGCTGCCCTCTCTGGCACCTTGTCTGGTCTTTACCTCCCCTCGTTCTCTACGAACTTGGTGAGTGGTGCTGACCTGCAGGATACGGGGGTTCACTAGTTCACTCCTGCGAGTCAGCGGGTGACCCACTGCACGGACGCTCGGACAGGCCGACACCTGGCCACGTTTACACGTCGGCCGGGGTTGAGCCTGTACACACTGACCACTGCGTCTCCTCCAGTCACTGCGTCTGGTCAGGTAGCTGCGTCGGGTCAGGTGTTTGCTGCAGCGTCCAGGTCTGGTTCTGAGTCTGCCCCCTTCTGGTGTCGCCTCCTGTCTCACGAGACTCTCCTCTGGCACCACCGTCTTGGTCACCCCTCCCTGCCTCGTCTCCGAGGCATGGCTTCCCGTGTCCTTGTCTCTGGTCTTCCCCGGTCCCTCCCTCCCCTTCCTCCGGGGCCTAGTCCTTCCTGTGTCCCCTGTGTCGAGGGGCAGCTCCGAGCTGCCCCTCACTCCTCTCAGTTTCCCCCGACAGAGGCCCCGCTGCAAACGCTTCACATGGACGTGTGGGGCCCGGCCCGCGTCCGTGGACAGGGTCACGAGCGCTACTTCCTACTGGTGGTTGACGACTACTCGCGTTACACCACAGTCTTCCCCTTCCGCAGCAAGGGTGATGTCGCTGAGGTGTTGATCGAGTGGATCCGCGCAGCTCGTCTCCAGCTCAGGAGGAGCTTCGTCTCGGACTTTCCTGTTCTGCGTCTGCACTCTGACAGAGGCGGAGAGTTCTCCTCTGGCCTTCTACGAGCCTACTGCCGTGCGCGAGGCATCCGCCAGACCTTTACGCTTCCGTACTCTCCACAGCAAAATGGGATTGCTGAGCGCCGCATAGGCATGGTCATGGACGTCGCTCGTACGCCCATGATGCATGCGGCTGCCCCCCATTTTCTGTGGCCGTTTGCGGTTCGGTACACGGCGCATCAGATCAACCTTCACCCCAGGGTCTCCAGACCGGAGACCTCCCCAGCCTTGCTGTGGACGGGGAAGGTTGGCGATGCGTCTGCGTTCCGTGTCTGGGGATCTCGGGCGTTTGTCCGCGACTTGTCTGCGGACAAGCTGTCCCCTCGTGCTGCCCCCTGTGTCTTCCTTCGCTTCCCCCCTGACGCCCTTGGGTGGCAGTTCTACCACCCCACCTCTCGTCCTGTTGTGTCCTCCCAGGACGTCACGTTCGACGAGTTAGTACCCTACTACCGCCTCTTCCCCTACTGCACTCCTTCCCTCCCCCCGCCACCGCACTTCCTTGTGCCAGGTCCCCTCCCGGTATACCCCCTCCCCCCTCAGGGTCCAGCCCCTCCAGGTGTGTCCCGGGTAGATGCAGTCGAGCCGGTCGAGGTTGCTGGTGACTCTGGTACTGCTGCGGGTGCTGAGCCTGGGGGTGCTGAGCCTGGGGGTGCTACGACTGGGGGTGCTGAGCCTGGGGGTGCTACGACTGGGGGTGCTGAGCCTGGGGGTCCTTCGCCTGGGAGTGCTGCGTCTGGAGCTGCTGAGCCTGGGGGTGCGGAGCCCGCAGCCGCTGGACCTGCTCGTGTGGCGTCTGGCGGTGCAGGGCCTGGTGGTTCTCCGGTTGCTTTGTCTCGGCGGGAGCCACTCTCTCCACAGGAGCTGCGCGAGTGGTTCGCCCGGCGCAGGAGGCGTACTATTGGAGCTGGTGATTCTTCGGCTGCTGAGGGTGCTAGTGCCGTCGGTCTCGGAGGTGCTAGTCCTGGGAGTGCTACTGGAGTCCGAGCTGCTGAGGTTGTTGGCGCTGAGGCTACTGCTGTCACTCCTAGCGGCGGTCCTGCTGCGGGTGCTGCTGGTGCTGATGTAGGTACTTGAGCTGGAGGTCCTCTTGACGCTGGTGCTGCCGCTGGGGGTGCTGGTGCTGTCCCTGCTGTGTCTAGACTCGCCGCGCGGCCTCGGCCGTACTTTGTTCCGCTCCTTCAGCAGGTTCTGGGTCTTCCTCCTCCCTTAGAGTGTCCACCGCCTGTCCAGTCGCAGTCACAGTTACCGCCGGCCTCCCCACTGCCTTCTCCTTCTCCGTACACTGGTCCTACTGGAGGTCTTGCTGAGCGTTGTGAGCCCGCGTCTCGTCCTGCGTCGCCTGTTCGTGCTGCTAGCACTAGTGGTCGCAGTTCGCGTCAGCGTCCTCCTCCTTTCCCTGGCACGCACCGGATGTCTCTGCCTCCGTCCACTGCTCCTCTGCGTGCCCCTTTGCCCTCTCCTCTTGAGTCCTCTCTTCCTGTGCTTGCCGACCCTGAGTCGGACTCTCTTTGTGCTGCCAGTCCTACTGTCACGCGTCTCCTTCCTACTGTCATCACTGACCCCTCCTTTGAGTCCACTGCTGCGTATGCTCTTGTTGCTGAGCTCGTCGACTTTGCTGCTCGCTGCCGTCTAGACTACGCTGCTAGTCTTGTTGCTGAGTCTACGTCAGTCTGTCCTCCGTCCGTCGAGGGTGAGCGTGCTCTTGGCACGGACGTCCTTGAGGACAGGTAGGAGGAGTTCCAGTGTCTGGCTGCTGCTTCACCTCATCTCGCGTCCGTACTTCTTACCCCTCAAAGAGACCCGAATGCACTAGACATCCCGACTCCGCGCTCTTACGCGGAGGCCATAGAGGGTCCCTACTCCTCTCAGTGGCAGGCAGCTATGGATGCAGAGATGGCTTCCTGGAAGTCCAAAAGCACCTACGTTGACGCGGTTCCCCCTCCTGGGGCGAACATCGTCAGTGGCATGTCGATCTTCAGGGTGAAGCGGCTGCCGGGCTCTCCACCTGTCTTCAAGGCGCGGTACGTGGCTCGTGGCTTCAGTCAGCGGCAGGGAGTTGACTACTTTCAGACCTTCTCTCCCACCCCGAAGATGACCACTCTTTGGGTGCTGCTACACGTAGCCGCTCAGCGTGACTACGAGCTTCACTCCCTTGACTTCAGCACTGCTTTCCTGCAGGGTAGCCTGCACGAGGAGATCTGGTTGCGCCGTCCACCTGGCTTCACTAGGACTTTCCCTCCTGGCACCCAGTGGAGCCTCCGACGGCGAGACTATGGTCTCCGCCAGGCACCGCGCGAGTGGCACGACACACTGAGGACTACACTTGCGGCTCTTGGGTTTGCTCTCTCTACTGCTGACCCATAGTTGTTTCTGCGCACCGACACTTCTTTGCCGTTGTTCTACATCCTCGTGTACGTCGACGACTTGGTCTTTGCCACAGCTGACACTGCTGGACTCGCCCACGTGAAGTCGGAGCTGCAGAAGAGACATACGTGCACAGACCCTGGTGAACTGCGCAGCTACCTTGGCTTGCAGATCACCCGGAACAGAGCACGCCGCACCATTACCCTGACTCAGTCACACATGGTGCAGCAGGTCCTTCAGCGCTTCGGCTTCACGTACTCCTCGCCTCAAGCCACTCCTCTGTCTACTCGCCACTCGCTCTCAACTCTGCCTTCGGATGAGTCCGTAGAGTCGAGTGGCCCGTACCCAGAGCTTGCGGGCTGCCTCATGTACCTGATGACCTGCACACGACCTGACCTTGCATACCCTCTTAGCATTCTTGCACGCTATGTTGCTCCTGGGAGACACAGACCAGAGCACATGGCTGCAGCTAAGAGGGTGTTGCGCTACTTGTGCAGTACGTCGGGCATGGGGCTAGTGTTTGGAGGGCAGAGTCCAGTGGTCCTCACTGGGCACGCGGACGCTTCTTGGGCAGACGACCAGGCTACACAGCGGTCGTCACAGGGTTACACCTTCAGCCTTGGTTCCGGCTCTGTTTCGTGGCGGGCTACTCGCTCGTCTTCTGTTCTCGGCTCCAATTGTGAGGCTGAGATCTACGCCGGGGCCACGGCTGCACAGGAGCTTCGCTGGCTTACCTACCTGCTGACTAACCTCGGAGAGCCGCCTCGTTCTCCTCCGGTGCTGTACGTAGACAACAAGGCCATGCTAGCCTTGTGTCGGGAGCAGCGCCTGGAGAACAAGACGAAGCACATTGCTCTCCGCTACTTTCTTGCTCGTGAGTTGCAGCAGCGTGGTCAGTTGCGACTTGCGTACGTGGCCTCTGAGGCCAACAATGCTGATGTTTTCACCAAGGCACTTCCGCTTTGTGATCATCAGCGCTTCTGCACTCAGCTGGGTCTTGTGCCTGTCTTGCCTCACTTGCTCACCCCTTGACCTTGCTTGTACTCTTACATATATATATACCTGCTCTTGCTTGTTTAGCCTTATCTATATGTGTACTCCTGCATGTGAACTGGCCTTGTGGCCTTGACCTTGTGCTCGGACTGTGTGGTGACGTTGTGATCCACCCTGAGCTTTGTCTGCTTTGCCTGACTGGTCTTGTGACCCCTTGTTCTCCCCCACTTTGCCTATGGGGGTGTGTCAAATTATAATATTGTGTAGGCTATAGTGGGGTAGCCCATATGGGGTACACATTTCTAGGGTTGCATATTTGTATCACTTCCATTCCTTAGTCATTCATTCTCGTTCACATCTTCTCAGGCATGTATGAATGGATGTTCATTCCAAAAAGAAAGATTTTCAAACCATAATTTTAGGCTTCGAAAGTTTTGTTATAACGTCCGTCAACCATGTATACAATAAGTCATGCTGACAGGCCCTCAGATTGGTTTGAGGGTATGCTGATTGATCAGCGTGCCCTGGCCGCCCAGGTGTCCAAATCAGCGTTCATGGTTTTTTTTTATACTGATTTTGCCAGTGTAAAAATTATAAGTAGACTGAACCATCAGTGTAAAAAATGTTGGGAACAAACAATCTTAAGCGCCTATGTCGTGTCGAAACACCAAGGCACAAGCGAAGCAGAGCATATCGAGGCACCAGCGAGTCAACCCTCGGAGGTTGAAGTAACCGCTGGAGGTTACGCGAAAGTCAAAGGTCAGCGAGCTTTGACTTGACAAATGCAGCGCGACAGCAAGGACACACAACTGACCTGACATTGAGCAGTTGCCCGAGTCATACTATATCGAACTGCAATAGTAAAACACTTTAATTATATCTCTTCGTATTCTTTGTACTCTTATATAAACCTTTGTACTTGCTTGTTTTAAACAACTTACTTTGCCCTCAGATACCAGCGCAAGGTGGTTCAAGGACTTCATTTGAACGCTTCCGCTACTACATCACTCTACTCAGAGTTTAACCCTACCAAAGATCCTTAACACCTAATACACCAAGAGACATGTCTACCAGAAAGGAGAGGAGCTCCTCCAACGGCTCTCCTGGTACTACTCCTACTCCACCTCCTGCCTCTGGCCTACAGACAGAGGAAGGCACAACAACGAGACCGGCAGCAGGGTCTACTGTAACACCCGCAAACCAAGGCGCGGGCTTCAATCCAAGCATGATGGAGAAGTTCTTCTCCTTCATGTCCTTCTACGAGCAGCATCAACAAGGAGCACCTGCGCAATCAAACAACAGCAACAACAACAACAACAACAACGTGACGCCCATGTGTCTCGATGGCTCATCCTACGCACGCGGGAATCAACAACAGCAACCTACCTTCGCTCCGTACGAGCCCCAGCGCGGCTCCGTCAGCTTCATGCCACAACCACAACCTGCACCGGGACAAGAGAGAACGCTGGACGCACTACAAGTTCAGTCGCAGTTCGCGCACGTTCTAAAACTGCAAACGAAAAAACCCTTCGACGGGAAGGATTTCTTTACCTGGTCGTTCGAATTCGAGCTGATGATGGAAGGAGCGCAAATCCTTGGCTTCTTCGACGGGTCCCTGCCATACCCAACAAACGGCACACAGTATGAGAAGCAGCAGTACACCTATCAATCGATGATGGCGTACACGATACTACTGAGGAACATCACTCCAACTCTGTCAGAACATTATAGCTCATGCATATTGTGAAGGCTATAGTGGGGTAGCCCATAAGGGGTACAACCCAATCAGGGTTAGTATTTGTACCCAATACATTCATAGTTCATTCATTCTCGTTTCTATTCTAACATGGTATCAAGCAGGTTCCCTCGTGGGAACTGTTCGTAGGGCCCACCAATTCGACATTTTTTTTTTCTGCCCGGAGCGCGCTCAGTCCTAGCCCGAGTCGCGCTCCCCCCTTTTTTTTTCTCGCCCCGTCGCGCCGCCCTAGCGGCCCTGTCGCCTGCCTTGTGGCCCTCGCGCCGCCCTTCCTGGCCCCGACCCGCCGCCCGGCGGCCTCGCCGCCTACCCCGCGGCCATCTCGCCGCCCTTACCCGGCCCCGATCTGCCGCCCTGCGGCCTTGTCGCCTACCCAGCGGCCCTCGCGCCGCCCTGCGGCCCTGACGCCGCCCTTACCGGCGCCGGCGCCTACCTGCGGCCCCGACGCCTACCTGTGCGGCCCCGGCGCCTACCTGCTGGCCCCGCCACCTACCCGCGGCCCCGCCACCTACCTGTGCGGCCCCGCCACCTACCTGCGGCCCCGCCACCTACCTGCGGCCCCGCCACCTACCAGCGGCCCCGCCACCTACCCGCGGCCCCGCCATCTACCTGTGCGGCCCCGCCACCTACCTGCGGCCCCGCCACCTACCAGCGGCCCCGCCACCTACCCGCGGCCCCGCCACCTACCTGTGCGGCCCCGCCACTTACCTGCTGGCCCCACCACCTACCTGCTGGCCCCGCCACCTACCTGCGGCCCCGCCACCTACCAGCGGCCCTGCCACCTACCTACGGCCCCGCCACCTACCCGCGGCCCCGCCACCTACCTGTGCGGCCCCGGCGCCTTACTAGCGGCCCCGCCACCTACCTGCGGCCCCGCCACCTACCTTTGCGGCCCCGCCGCCTCCTCTCAGCGGCCCCGCCGCCTCCTCCCAGCGGCCTAGCAGCCGAGCCGCCCAGCCGCTGAGCCGCCCAGCAGCCGAGCCGCCCAGCAGCCGAGCCGCCCAGCAGCCGAGCCGCCGAACCGCCCAGCAGCCGAGCCGCCCAGCAGCCAAGCCGCCGAGCCGCCCAGCAGCCGAGCCGCCGAGCCGCCCAGCAGCCGAGCCGCCGAGCCGCCCTGCAGCCGAGCCGCCCGAGCCGCCCTGTCCGGTAAGAGCAGCGCCTCTTTCACAGCACTGCCCTCACCCTACTGTTTGCGCTGCTAGTCTACTGCTGTCATGGCTACCCCTAGTCTCCTCGCTTTTGACGCTGAGGGTCGGGCCATTGACTTTGACGTCTGGATAGATGACCTGCAGCTTTTCTTACAGTACGATAGGGCAGACGGCCTCTCCCTCTTTGACCTCACTTCTAGTGCCTCTCCTACCCCCGCTGCTGATGCTGACGCCACTGTTCGCTCACAGTGGGCCACGCGCGATGCTGCTGCACGTCTTGCTGTGCGTCGCCACCTGCCTACCTCTGTGCGTGTGCACTTTAGCCAGTACAAGAGTGCTCAGACCTTGTGCGACGCTGTAGTTGCACGCTACTCCTCCCCTGCCACTGCTGCACTGAGCCGCCTCATGCTACCGTACCTCTTCCCTGACCTTGCTGCCTTTCCCACAATCGCTGACCTCATTACGCACCTCCGCACTAGTGACACTCGCTACCGCGCTGCGCTTCCTGCTGAGTTCTGCGCCAAGAACCCCCCCACCCATGTACATCACCCTCTACTACATAGTCACCCGTCTCCCTGACTCCCTTCGCGTAGTGAGGGACCACTTCCTCTCAGTTTGCCCCACCACTCTCACCGTTGACCTCCTCGAGAAGGCCCTCCTAACAGCACAGAAGAGCATAGTAGCTGTAGGAGCCTCTCGTGGTGACCCTCGCACCCCCATCTTTGAGGGGTGTTCCCCCTCCCCTCTTTTGCCCTCTGTTGCCTCTGCTGTTGCGGCCGACCTCGTTGGTCAGGAGTCGGTCGGTGCGGCGTCTACCCCTAGTGGGAAGCGTCGCTCTGGCAATGGCAAGGGGGGCAGGGGCGCTGAAGGAGCTAGCGGGGGCGGTGGAGGCGGCGGTAGAGGCAGTGGAGGGGGTGGGGGTGGTGGTGGGAGTGGTGGCGGGGGTGGAGGTGTCGGCGGCGGCAGTGGAGGCGGAGGCGGCGGCGGCGGTGGCGGTGGGAGCGGAGGTGGTGGAGGTGGCGGAGGTGGAGGAGGCGGTGGCGGAGGAGGAGGAGGTCGTGGCTCTTCGCAGAGGAGTGGCTCCGGTGGTGGTCAGCGCTAGCAGCAGCAGCGCAGTCGGGAGTCCCTGTCCCCTCAGCAGCTCCGTGAGTGGTACGCTGCACGCCAGCGGGGTGGGGGTACTGGTCCGTGCACCTACGTCCTGCGCACCAGCGATCGTGCGGATGAGCAGTGTGGGGGTGCACACCCCACCCAGCGCTGCTTTGGCCGCCTGACGGACGATTGGCGTCACCAGTTCCATGAGGCCACTGAGATCCCTCGCTGGGGCGAGCTGTCTTGGGCAAGGGTAGCTATCTTTGACCTTGACTTTGATGCTATTCTTTCCGGTATGTATACTGTGTCTATTAGTGAGGAGGGTGACTGTTACCGGTGTTTCCCGCCCGACCCGGGCATTGAGCCTGCTGCTCTAGGTGCTGGTGAGGCTGCTGCTCTTGGTGCTAGCGAGGCTGTTGCTCTAGGTGCTAGTGCGTCTGCTTCCTCCAGTACTGGTGAGTCTGCACTCTCATGTACTGCGTCGGCTTCGGCCTCCCATACCTTCACACTTGACTCGGGGGCTTCTCGCTCCTTCTTTCGAGACCGCACCACACTCACGCCGCTTGGTCGGCCAGTTGCGGTCTCCCTGGCAGACCCCTCTGGGGGTCCTGTCCTTGCTCACTTCTCCACTGTCCTCCCTTGTCCGGCGGCCCCCTCTGGCACCCTGTCTGGTGTTTACCTCCCCTCGTTCTCTACGAACTAGGTGAGTGGTGCTGACCTACAGGATGCGGGGGTTCACCAGTTCACTCCTGCGAGTCAGCGGGTGACCCACTGCACGTGTGCTCGAACAGGCCGACACCTGGCCACGTTTACACGTCGGACGGGGTCGAGCCTGTACACACTGACCACTGAGTCTCCTCTAGTCCCTGCGTCTGGTCAGGTAGCTGCGTCGGGTCAGGTGTTAGCTGCAGCGTCCAGGTCTGGTCCTGAGTCTGCCCCCTGCTCGTGTCGCCTCCTGTCTCACGAGACTCTCCTCTGGCACCACCGCCTTGGTCACCCCTCCCTGCTTCGTCTCCGAGGCATGGCCTCCCGTGTCCTTGTCT